TGTCACCCAAGGGCTCTTATAGCAATGTGGCTGAGTAGTTAACGTGTCACTTAACATTCTGCACCGTCACTAGTGTTGATAAGATCGATGCGAGGTCAAAACTGCAGTCCACCTTGGATGAGAACAACTTTTGGGAAAGCAAGGTTATTGGAAATTCAATGGAAACGTCAGTTCTACTCATATCATTGTAAGAAAATTCTACTACCATCATTCACACCTTAAACGAAGTAGAGTTAATACATCTTATATTACTGATTTACTAGTAGTCTCGAAACGAAAAATAAACAACTTTGTCGATTGTTATAGCAAATATACGTTTGCTTCATCACAATCCTACCAAGGAATATGATATGGCAAGAGGCCTGGCCTTCCTTGAAATTCAGATCTGCCTTGTCACCCAAGGGCACTCGTGACCATGTGGCCGAGTGATTACCGTTTCAGCTCAACTCATATCATTATGGGAAAACAAGGTCAGACAACTTCCAAACGTATTTTTCCTATAACAATTCAAACTACTTATATAAAAGAGAAAGGGATTCATTATTAGAAGCTAAGGCAAAAGTGGACGTGAACGATGCAACAAAGGATGAACAGAAAAATGACCTTCATCTGCGATCCCGACCTAAGAATGGCGGCTCACGTCTGAAAATGTACTAAGTCAACGGTCCTAAGCTCAAAGTCACGAATACTATAGTACAGTACGCAGCCTAGGTGGTACGTTCTACAAGGCCTCTCCAACGCTCGGATAAAATTGCGACAACTAGGTGAAGCCAATGCTAGAGCTTAAAGAAAGAGACCAAATAAAAGACTACTTATCTTCGTATTCAAGTCCAAAGCTAAGAATAGTTTGATCTCGCCTTCATAAATTGCCCAGGTTAACAGTAAGACCTTGGAACAACTAAACCTGAGGGCCTGCCAACAGGATTCATTATAAATTTAAGCACACGCTTAATGCATGTACTGAAGATTAATTGATAATATGCTCACGCCTTAGTTGTCACATAAAAGTTTGTTTGAAATATACCCAGGCAATTAACATGAAATAGGGCACCGTTCCGTTGCATTCAACTCACTCGTGTGGCCGGCCAAGGCAATGTCTGGCTATCTCTGATCTGTCCGTACCCATTGCTCTAATCGTTAGTGTTCCTTAATCCTACTGCCTATTTCACTTCCCGTCTTTTCAATGCACTTTTGTTTACAGCTTATGTAGTGAGCCAAAGAGCAGCCCCACCTTGCTGACTATTTTAAGCCGTGTGAGCATGTTGGTGAGGGACTTTTGCTGTTTCTGGATCTTACGACATTTAGTTATTCGAGGCCTCAGATTATTGACCAGTTCACAGAAAGATCAATTGTTTTTTTGGACTGACTCGACTTATTTTCATCATTACCATCCTACCAAGCCATTAACTAGTCAATTTTTCATGTGCATACTTCCAGAATCCGATACCTGTTAGGCTTCTTATGATCATAATCCGAATAATTCCAAGCTCCGAAACCCGACCATGGAAAGACTGGAAATTAAGGATTATCCTTTTCTGAGGAAACTCTCCTTCAGAATGTCCTCGAATCGAATGACCTCATATTCAAGAAAGACATATATTCATCTTTTTCTACCTCAATTTAAAACTTGATTGTTCTATCAATATCATTTAATAAGATTTAAAATTTACCAAGTTCTCTTTTTCATGCGACCAGTGTTAAGTAGTTAACTAAGTATCACATCATTAGTGTTGGCTGCTGAGGTGACGTTTTGAAGCTCCTCCATGCTACTTCATCGAAGTATCAAAAGGTAAGCCGAGCAACAATGCTAGTGATACGATATTTAGATGACTACTTCGCACAATATCGATTTAAAAGTCAAATTTTCAATGGGTACGAAGGCAAACAAGTTAGTGCATATTGAAAGACACATGAAATTAATCGTTTATACACTCATAACTGCTACCAATTCTAGCCACCTATACTTAGCACTACAAATTAACTAACCTTTCCTATTACAGTTGTTAAATTACATTAAGGAAACATACAGGTTTCATATATTCATTACGATCAACCAGTCTTCTAATCTATATACAAACTCAGCAAACTCCAGTCTCTTATATTTTCTATCGCTTTTGAGGCAAGTCCTAAGTTTGAACTATTCGAAAGGTAGTCGGATCGTTTTATACCCGTGATACAGTAACAATTAATGTTATTATGGGTATATATTTTAATTCCCAGAATTTCGCAGAATGGTCTATGGGCAAATAAGTAATAATATTAAGAGGTATCGCTAAGTCGTTTCATTGATACTATGGGATTTGTCTCAATGAAGTTCAAAAATGAACAATTAAAATCTTTCATCGTACTAAAGTGATTCGCACCATGTCCAAATGCTGAAAGGAAATTTTGCCGAACCACTATTGACTTTTTTGTATACACGCTTCATGGCATGATATTATCAAGCAATTACTTAAATTAGTTGTTAATGGAAGATTAGGGGAAAATTGATACTGCGCAAATATGATCGAGGCAGCAGAATTAGTACTGAATGGTAACAAAGGGCAAACAGAGAAACCGACAGAGGATATGCTGCGATAAAAAATGGATGGGATTGTCTCAAATGTTGGCACTACGAGATTAGTTTGAAGTGAAGACGGCGTAACTCCGAAGACGCCATAGAAACCTTTACCACATCCGGTTCACAGCAGTAATTGGTCCTTAGTGGACTATCCTGTTCCCTAGCATTGATTCTGGGAATCCGAAGTCGACAACGCGGTAAATCCTGAGGGTCGTGAGGCAAAAAATTATGAGCGTCCAGCTTGGAAGTCCTGGCTAGCCCAGTGGTTAGAAAACGTCTTGTACGCGCGGAAGGAAAACGGGCGAAGTCAGCTTGCACGGTGCCACCAGGGAGTTCAATTTGGACCAAATCCACGATGCGTTTCTCTATCTTGAGTTTGAATGTGATTATAATTAGAAATTAAATGAGATAAATGATATGAGTAAAAAATACGGGAGTTTAGGAATCAAGTCTAACATCATAACTATGTTTAAAAAGACTAACAGCCCTGAAGCATTCATTTCATATCTAGATGAGGTTTATATTGTGATTAAAAAGAGCTGATAATATATGCTGATGAAATTGTTTAAGGCCAGTAATGTGGTAGTGCAATGTCACTTTGCTAAAGCTCGTTCGTGACCCAAAAATTAGTAAGCACCTCACTAGTGGACAGGATGATTACATTTTGATTGTCTCAGATTCCGCTGATCCCTTTCACATCGCCAAACCTCGCAAGATCGGTTAATTAAAAACAACGTTAGCATCACTTTCGTGTTTGTAGAATTTTAAACATCAATAAAATAGGCGTTCCTCACCAGATGCATATTAAAACCCTATGCTACAAATGGAATAATAAAGTGCGTTAGTCATTTAGCCTTAAAATAGAATAGTTAACGTAGAATGGGTCCAGGAGAGTCAGGCAGATTAAAATCATAGGTAAAATTTTAGTATGAGATGTATTCAGTTTATTTAGTTTGATGTAATCTCGACACATTAACCATCAAACTACATTGCCACGAGTGACCTAAGGGGAATATGATATAGGATGCCTGGCCTGTGACCCAAGAGCATTAATGGCAACATGGCGTAGTGGTTAACGTGTCGAGATTACACGCTTCATTGTAATGTTGCGACTCCCGCTGGGAATGTTGGTAAGATCTAGACGAGGTCGAAACCACAGTCCACCCTGGATGAAAACACCGTTTGGGAAAAGAAGACTATGCGAAATTCAATGAAAGTGTCAGCCCTACCCACACCATTGTGGGAAAATTCTATTGAGTCCTTCATAATCTTAAACGAAATAGGGTGAATACATCTCATATAAGTGATAATCTCGAAAACCTACTTATAAACATAAAGTTTAGTATTTTTATTCTGGTAATAGTAATATACTTAAAATATAATAAAAGGCTAGTTGGCAAAATGTTCATGTATAAAAGGTAAAAAAAGAAAAATCGGGTATCGATAAGTCTTTTGAGCTAAAAATGCTGTAGATACTTTTCTTTTTATGAAAGTGCCTGATGAAGATATTTGTATGTCGGTTTGACGAGAAGACGACAGCTGATTCTCGTTGTAGTGCGGCCATTTAGCGTTAATAGGACATTCAGGGTGAGTCAGTCCACGAGGCATCCTCCCACGTTTCAGGTTAAGGTATCGTAAGTCATATGATGGACATCGTCAGAGCTGGGACTCATTCTTGAAAAAGTATCAGGTTAACACTAAATCAAAAAGAAAGATTGGCTATTTCTTTTTATATAGAGATGAAAATAAATAGGCGTGGTTACTTCTCTTATGCTCGAGTGTGTGTACTTGTTCAAGTGTGTACCGGTCATAATCAGAGTAATTTGGAAAAAGCATGGGGTAATCAAGGCTTAATGACCCAAGGAAAAAGCATAACCGACACTCGAGTATAAGAGAATTAACCACATTTTTCTAAATCTAGGTATATCTTAAAACTTTCCTTGTTATGAGTAATGTCACAAAAGTAGAAAAGAGCCGGTCAATTTTCTTGACTTGTCGACTTGCAAGAATGAATGTAGCTCTGATAATGTTCGCTATATGACGATGAAAGTTCAGCTCATTTATGCCCTAAACGTAGGAATAGGTCTTGTGAACTGTCAGTCTGAACGTCGTATTGAAGCCAAACGATTTCAATACAGAGAGAATCAGCCGTCGTCTTATGGTTAGATATACCCACGAATCATGAACTCTCATAAGGAATGTAAGCCTCAACAATGATAAAAGTAAACATTGGTATGTCTAATAAATTACATCCTCTAGGCTTCGTTTCATCATTATTAACTGCGCTGCTCGCTTCGTCATCTGGGAAGCCGGAGAAAATAGATGCAATTTGGTCCTTAGGTCGTTCTTTTCATGTTGTTGATCACATTCTGGGTTGGTGACTTCTCCCGGGACAGGTAGTCGTAATTGCACAAGCCTGGGTAAAGCAAGCAGGCAGTGTGCATGGCTAAGAGTTTGTCGGGCATCGCGTGAAATATGATATAATGACGCAACATCGGCATGTACAATCTTCTTGCCTAATGCTTCTTGCTGACCCTTTTCGACCTCAGCTGCATTGTCAAAAGAAGTATCACAGTTATTTTCGAATTTTTGAGATAATTCTTTGAATTGCGCTAGCTTGTAGCGAGGCACACGGAGAACTGGCAAAGCGGTGAGTTGAGCCTACAAGAAACAAAATCATTTGGAAGTTTAAAGAGTAATATTACGTTAGAAGTCTGGTCTGTTTAATTAAGAATCTAAAATACAGGACAATTTAAACATCATAAATTTAATAAGTAAATCAGTGCTAAAATAATAAATTACTTTGAAAGAGGTTTTTAGTTCTACCAATAGTATATTTACAATTTTGGCCTCAAATGTAAATCTTTTTTTTTTACCGAAAACATGGTTAGGATCCCTCTTATAACGCTTCTATTTCGTATGTAAAAAATGAATGAGATGCTAACTTTTCTTAAGTTGGATATTTTAATAAAGAAATTCTTGCGGAAAAACGATAAGGCAAAAAATGGTAAATATTGTGAAGGAAGAATTTCATCCATTGATCTATATTTTGATATAAGCGTAATAAGCTAAGTGAAGATAAACTTTTATTACTACGAAAATCAAGTACCTTTTCTTGAAAAATCAATTTAGTATGACTGATGGCATTGCAATCCATAAGTAATGAACCACTATTGTAATAATCGATCCTTCTTTGATTTCACAGGAAACACAGTAGTATATTTTAGCCTTATGAACTTAATATAAGGTATAAGGACCAAGATGGGGTGGCCTTTTGTGTGGTCAAAGTCCCCTTTCGTCGTATAGAAGTTGTTTGACCTTGTTTTGCAACTTGGTCATATTAGTAGAAG